TCTGTATCATATATAAACACAATATACATATACATGTACATAATATTATATGTTGTCTACATCTCTTTATATATTTTTAAGGGGGAAAATTGGGAATGAATGTTATTTAGGCTCTTAATTTATTCTCTGAGCAAAACTATTAAATAAGCTAGAAAACTCCCAAACTTGGGAACACTATCTGCTTCTTTCCAGGCTTAGCCACAGGCAACTGTTTCTTCCTTCTACCCCCATTGCTAAGTGACTTTATCAAGTTCTGGGCTCAGAGACTATTTATACAGGTAAGAAAAAGAAAGTCCACCTTCAGGACAATATCTGACAATATCTGACAAATATTTAGTGTTGAAATAATTATGGAATAGAAGGAGCATGAAACTATGTGATGAATCTCAGTCTCTCGCTGTCCTTCAATTTTTATCTCATTTTGATCAAATGAATAACAATATGTTCTTGCTCAGATAGAGGAGGGCATTCCTAAGTATGACAGGTCCTGCATCAGAGACACTTGGCTAAAAGTCAGTAATCGTTACAAAGGGAAAGGTGGAGGACATACGAGGCAAGCATTCATGGATTGATATCTTGGATGGCTCAGAAGGCATGCAGCTCAGTGTACAAGTGGAGGGTGTAGTCTCATTTCCACTTTCAGCCAAAATGATGAGACCAAGAAGAGTCAAAAAGACACACTTTATTAGCTATTCTCTATGTTCAAACCCTCTGTCTCTCTGTCTCCCTTCCCCACTACCACTCATCTCCTGCAGGGCACCACATTCCCATGGAATCCTCTACGTGGTTCTCATGGTGGGAGAAGAATAGGGTTGCTCCTGGAGGCTTTTCCAGGACACTCAGCAGAGCGTTGTTCTTCTTTGGGGAAAGGTAGGACAAACAGCTTCTTAATCATAGGCCCATGGAAGAGGAAGGAAACATTGAGGGGTTCTCCCTGGGGATTTGTGGTTAGATCCAGGTGCACAGGGAAGGCCTCAGCAGGATCCGTTTCCTGAGATTCTTCATCATCCAGATCAGGAAGGTACTGGACAGATCTGCTTAGCACATCTTTGGAGGGTGAGTGCGTAGGTTTTTTGTTTCTCTGGTAAACAGAGAATTTTCTCCTTCTAAGGTTGGGAGCCTGAAATAAAAATGCTTTCAATAAGGAAATGTTCTCTAGGGAAATCTCTTCTGTGGCTGGTACCAGGCTAAGCTGTTCTATGCCTTTCTGATGGAATATTTTAAGGGGAGCCAGGTAGAGGGATGGGCCTTTGGTTAAAAGGATTATAAAGCAAAACAGATAAGGGCCAGCAGGAACCAGGACTGGTAGAAGCTTGATAGCAAGCTTGATCCAGAGGACTTAAATGGCATATTCAAAGTCCTTAGTGGGCTGTCTCCCTGCTCCTAGTGTGACAGCAATAGCACCATTACTAATTGTTTATGTTCTGCCAGGCCCAATACAACACCCTTTATCCAGATCTTCTCACTAATTTCTCACAAGAAACTGAATGAGGTAAGCATTGCAAGCCCATTCATAGATGAGGCAACCATGACTCAGAGAGGTAAGAATTTTCCCATGGTCACCTAGCTCATAGGTAGCAGAGCAGGACTGGAACCCAGGTGGCCTCTCTCAACCACCCTTTCAACTATATCAGGCTGTCTCATATTAAGTGCTCAATAAATACTTCTGGAATGGGAACAACTATTTCCATGGAAACAACTTCTCCCATCAGTTCAGGGTAAGGGTCTTTGGGGACACTGCATTTAAGTTATCAGGGCCTGAGCCATCCAAGCTCAGAGGTCCCTACTTATGAAAGTCTTAATTATTCTGCAGGAACTCATTGGGACTAAAACAAAGAGTGACAGGTCTTTAGCTAGCCTATAGGTGTGACCTCAGGGCAGCCTAAATAAAATGGTGATCAGGAATCTTAGGAAAATAAAATGAGAGGATGAGGTAGGGAGAGTTAAAACATAGATATTCAGCTTTTTTTCTTCACAGAAAGACAAACAATTAGAATGAAAAAATACCTGTGATTGAAAGAAGTCACAATTTATATTGACAAGCTTTACTTCAAATCTTCGACGCAGAGTACCTCTGCAAATACCAACAGGCTAAAAAAAAAAAAAAGAGAGAGAGAGAGAGAGAGAGAAAGAGAGAGGAGATACAAAATTGTTTGAGTTTTATAATTATCAATGATCATAAATGGAAATCAACTTGCTTTTTGCCAGTGTGCACAAACAGCCAAACAACATTTATATGCTACTACCATGCAATAGGTAGGTTCTGAGCCAATTATCTCTAGACTAGTCACATGGTGCATGGGTTCGTGCACACTGAAAGAAAATTAATTACAAGTTGGCTGGCAGGGTGGAACTGAACAAAATGGGCCAAAAACGCCCTGGAGCCAACTTCCTGTGGTTCTTCCCTGGCCAGCTGAAGCTGGGGTGGAACCATGGCTTGAAAGTCTGCGGAGTGAGTGAGGTCCCTCCACCAGGTGGAGTCCCTTGGCCTGACCTGCAGGGATTGGGCCAAAACTGGCTCTCTAACTTCCCCTGAGGGGTTCTGGAGTGCAAGAGAGCCCTCTGCAAAGTTGCTGTTGTACAGGGTGTGGAACGCAAAAGCAAGTGTGCAGTAAACCAGATTTGGGGCTGACAGTTCCCCAGTACCAACATAACCCACAGCCAAAGGTGGAATCACACAGCCCCATGAGGAATTGTGTTCCCTCCTCTTTGGTTTCAGAGTGCATCACCCAAGAACCACTGCTGCCAAGTCACTGCAGCTTGGCAGCTCCTGCATACAGTGTCTGCCCCCTGGTGGTTAGTGAGCATCATAACAGCCAGTTGGATGGAGTGAGGAACACTTAGCATATTAGCCTTTTATATAAATAGATTATCTCTCCAGATAACCACCTAAACAAGTCTAAATTGCCTCCAATGATGGAAAATTTAAAATTTCTTGAGGAGGAGGAGAAAGAAGCTGCCAACGTGAAGGCAGATTGCAAGATAGTGTGTGAGTGAGAGAATGAAAGGGGAGTGTGTGGACATACGTGGAGTGTATATTTGTGGGTGAGGAACAGCTATACTCCAAGGGACTGTTGGGGACCGCTGGACCAGGCTCCCTTGAACGACAGCCTCCACTGCTGCTGAAATCTCTCTGAGAGCAACCAGCTCTGCCGCGGAGACCACACCATCTTGAAGGGGAGAGTGGCTATTATGAGAAGCCTATACATCCCAGGACTCTACAACCACAACACCCAGGGACCAGCTGCAAACTCAGGAACACCGGATCTCAAGCAGCATGAATACAGGGACTCGGGTGAGCTCTGCACCTTCTTATGGAAAGGTCAGAATTCGCCTAGGGAAAGGTGAAGTCTGTGATCCAGGTTGGAGAGAGAAATGTGCACAAAGGGATCTAGAGGTTCGGGAGAAGTCTGTGCCCCACAAAATCCGCGAATGTGGAAGGGGATCTGCAGGGCTGCTGGCAGAAGGGAACTCTAAAAATCAACCCATAGCTGAACTGGGCACAAAAAGTCACCTGAAATTTTACCAGTGTTCCAGCTGCTTAGTACCAGGGGAAAAAAGACATGCACAGAGACATTCACAGAGTTGCGCACAGTGCCAGAGGGTAAAAGTTGAAAGTTCACACACTTACTATGGCCCTTTTTTTCTCTTTAAATCCTTGCTTTTGATTACTAAGCCAAATACATAGCATCACTGGATTAGGGACACTCTAAGACAGCAGTTCTCAACCTGTGGGTTGTGACCCCTTTGGCAGTCAAATAACCCTTTCATAGGAGTCGTCTAAGACCATCCTGCATATCAGATATTTACATTACAATTCATAACAGTCGCAATATT